TCCACTTGCTTCAAATTATTGTATGTTGTATTAATATGTATATACTGTTAATGTTTAGGTTAAGTTTGGTTAAGGGTAAATTATAGGAAGCTGAATATTTTGTTAAGGAATTTATGGTACTTTATTATACACAACAAAAACTCTCATCCTTTGTCTACCCTTTTATAGTCCGATTGTCTTTGTATTTTGTTGTTATTACCTGTTGGGATCTGGGTAGACGTTTAACTATATTCTAAATCCCCAACTCGTAACAATACATACACACAGACAGACAGACAGACATATATACACACAGACAGCCAGACAGACAGACATACATACATACACATAGACAGACAGACATACATACATACACACAGACAGACAGACAGACATATACATACATACACACAGACAGACAGACAGACATAGTTACATGGCTTACAGACTTCCTCAGTGACTGACGCCAAGCTGTACGCTTCCGAGGGGCTGTCTCCACCTTTCAGTCACTCACCTGTGGCGTCCCCCAAGGCACCAAGATGGGTCCACTCTGCTTCCTTATGCTCATCAATGATGCCCTAAGAGAAACCCCCGCTCGCTGGAAATATGTCGACGACTCCACCATTGGGATCAGCGTCAACAATTCTACTCCCAACTATACCGCCCTTCAGGATTTATTGAACAGTCTTCAAACCTGGGCTGCCACCAACAACCATGTCACCACCAACCATACCAAGACCATGGTTATGCACATCAACCTTCCTCCCTCCGACATTGTCCCCACCTCCTTCCATTACTCTATAGGTCCGAACACACCCAGGTTGTAGATCCGAAGCCCTCGTATGCCACCATACAACAAACTAAATTGGAAACCACACGTCAGTGAAGTTGTCAAATCCTCCAGTTTCCGTCTCCACCTCCTCCGCCGACTCAAGTCCCTCGGAGTTCCTGCACACGAGCCCCTCAGTGTTTACACAACATTCATACTTCCCAAGCTCTCACCTATGCCTCCCCCACCTGGTCTTCCTCCCTAAATGCCACACACAACGTAAACACCTAGAAAAAGTGCAAAAGAGGGCATGCAAGATTATTCTCCCCCCTTCCTACTCCACATATCAAGAAGCGCTCAACACACTGACCCTTTCGACTCTCACTGACCATCACCACGACCTCATCTGCAAATTTGGTAAGAAGCTTCTACACCATCCCCGACACCGGCTCCTACTACCACCTGAGATCCCTTGTCCGAGAATTGCTGTTCGACACCACAACCGCATCCAGCCCATACGTGCACGAACTGATCGCTATAAGAACAGCCCAGTCCCAACCATTGTAAAGATTATCAATAACTTGTAATAAATCAGTGTATTCACTCCCAGTAAACACTGCTCCTTACACTGTCACTATGTTGAAATGAACTGTAGTTTGAGCTTTGCCCCATCTAGTTATTATATGTCTTATTTGTGTTACTTGTATATTATTTGTAATTCGTAACCCATTCCCAAATATGTAACTGTATATTTTCAGCCTTCTGGCTGCCAAGCTCTTTCAATAAACCGTTAATTATTATTATTATTATTATTATTATTACAGACAGACAGACAGACATACATACATACAATACAGACAGACAGACAGACATACATACCTACACACACAGACAGACACAGACAGACATACATACATACACACAGACAGACAGACATACATACACACACAGACAGACAGACAGACATACATACATACACACAGACAGACAGACAGACATACATACCTACATACAGACAGACAGACAGACAGACATACATACACACAGACAGACAGACAGACAGACAGACATACATACATACACACAGACACACAGGCAGACAGACAGACAGAAAGACAGACAGAGAGAAACTCACCTGTGCTGGGAGGGGGGTGAGGGCAGTAGACTGGGTAATGTTCCAGGTGAGAGCAGCGGGCGGTCTCGAACCAGCGGCCCGACACAACAGCCCGGCCTCCACCTCCGCCCTCAGTGGCTTCTCCACACCTTCCACACTAACCTCCAACGGCGGCACTGTCAGGGAGAACAAGGGCAGTGTCAGAAGAATAAGGACTCTGTCAGGATAACAAGGGAAGTGTCAGGAGAATAAGGAGATTGTCAGGATAGCAAGGACAGTGTCAGGAGAACAATGACACTGTCAGAATAACAAGGAAGTGTCAGGAGAATAAGGAAAGTGTCGGGATAGTAAGGACAGTGTCAGGAGAACAAGGACAGTGTCAGGAGAACAAGGACAGTGTCAGGAAAACAAGGGAAGTGTCAGGAGAATAAGGACTCTGTCAGGATAGCAAGGACAGTGTCAGGAGAACAATGACACTGTCAGAATAACAAGGACACTGTCAGGATAACAAGGAAGTGTCAGGAGAATAAGGAAAGTGTCGGGATAGTAAGGACAGTGTCAGGAGAACAAGGACAGTGTCAGGAGAACAAGGACAGAGTCTGGATAACAAGGACAGTGTCAGGAAAACAAAAAGTGTCAGGAGAGTAAGGACTCTGTCAGGATAACAAAGGGAAGTGTCAGGAGAATACGGGTAGTGTCGGGATAGTAAGGACAGTGTCAGGAGAACAAGGACAGAGTCTGGAGAAAACAAGGAAAGTGTCAGGATAGCAAGGACAGTGTCAGGAGAAGAATGTCAGTGTCAGGAGAATAAGGACAGTGTCAGGGGAACAAGGACAGTGTCAGGATAACAAGGGCACTGTCAGGTTAATAGGGGGTGTCAGGAAAACAAGGACAGTATCAGGAAAACAAAGACAGTATCAGGAAAACAAGGACAGTATCAGGAAAACAAAGACAGTGTTAGGTGAAGAAGCACAGTGTCAAAGTCTTCCTACCTCCTCGTGCAATATCTGTGAAATGCTTTGACATATTGTCTTTAAACCCAGTCTTAGAAGTTCTCAGTGTTGTTCCTCAAAGGTGACTGTCGGAGGAACGAATCTCTTAAGAAAACACAACACGATCCTGGACCTTAAAAGCTACGGTAGAACCTCACTGCAATTACGACGCTATTTTGGCCACCATCTTTGTGTAGTTTCTTTAAGTAGGGCAACAAGATGCGTTCCCACATTCTGAGCAAAGGGGGATAGGGAAGGGGGGGGTGGGGGGTGGGTGGAGAGGGGGAGGGAGGAATGGGGAGAGTGAGAATTAACTTGCTACCTTATGAAAATTCATCTATGCCTCGTAGTTGGTATGGACGAGGTGGTTTTTACAGTCTCATCTGAGGGAGAGGAATATTAATGAACGCACCACCTTTCAGAGTCTTTCTTTGCCTTATAAGATTCAATTGAGCCTTATGATGTGATCTCACATCTTTTCTTGAAGGGAAAAGAAATAACGTATGAACCTTTATAAAGCCATCCTTGTGTCTTATCTTAAATGAGCCAGTTAGATGCGTCTTAACATCTCTCCTTGAAGGCAAAAAATTGACATACGAATTTTTGAGAATTCATCTTTACCTCTTAGTTCGATTTTCTTTAACATCACTCGCAAGATGAGTGAAATTAAGCAACATACGAGTACTCAAAGTCCTTTGCATATTACACCAACTAACTCGCTAAAAATAATGTAAACTCGTGGTTGTTGTTGTCATGAGGTTCGCGTGCTCCTGGCTGACTTAGTGAACGGTCAGAGACCTCACCTTCAAACTCATAATAGCGGCAGTGAATGTAGGTTCCTCCCCTCCTGTGTCACAAAGAGCCATTGTTTGATCACCGTTATGGACTATTGACCAGAGACGACCACAAGACCAAGGACGTCCACAAGATCAAGGACGTCCACAAGACCAGAGACGACCACAAGACCAGCGGCGACCACAAGACCAGAGACAACCACAAGATCAGAGACGACCACAAGGCAGAGACGACCACAAGACCAGCGACGACCACAAGACCAGCGGCGACCACAAGACCAGATACAACCACAAGATCAAAGACGACCACAAGCTCAAAGACGACCACAAGACCAGAGACGACCACAAGACCAGATACGACCACAAGCTCAAAGACGACCACAAGACCAGCGGCGACCACAAGACCGAGACAACCACAAGACCAGCGGCGACCACAAGATCAGAGACGACCACAAGGCAGATCGACAAGACCAGAGACGACCACAAGATCAGGGACGATCAGGCCTGGTTGGGTGGGGGGCCTTGCAGGGTGAGGCCTGGTAGGTGGGAACCTGGTAAGGTGAGGCCTGGTAAGGTGAGGACCTGTAGGGTGGGGCCCTAGTAGGGTGGGGCCTGATAGGGTGAGGCATGGTAGGGTGAGAGCCTGATAGGGTGGGGCCTGGTGGGATGGAGCCTGATGTGAGAGCCTGGTGGGATGGGGGGCCTTGGTAGGCTGGGGAGAATGGTAGGGTGGGGCCTGGTAGGGTGGGGCCTGGTGAGGTGAGGCCTGGTGGGATGGGGACTGGTGGGGTGAGGGCCTGGTAGGTGAGAGCCTGGTGGGGTGAGCGCCTGGTGGGGTGAGTGCCAGGTAGGGTGGGCGCCTGATAGGGTGTGAGGCCTGGTGGGGTGGGGCCGCTGATGGGGTGGGGCCTGGTAGGGTGGGGGCCTGACAGGGGTGAGGGCTGGTAGGGTGAGAGCCTGGTAGGGGTGGGGGCCCGTAGGGTGGGGGCCTGGTAGGGTGGGGCCTGATAGGGTGAGGGCCTGGTGGGATGGGGGCCTGGTGGGGTGAGGGCCTGGTGGGGTGAGGGACCTGGTGGGGTGTGGGCCTGGTAGGGTGAAGGCCAGGGGAGTGTGGGGGCCTGTGGAGTGGGGGCCTGGTAAGGTGGGGGCCTTGTGGGTGAGGGACCTGGTGGGGTGGGCCTGGAGTGGGGTGGGGCCTGGTAGGGTGGGGCCTGGTGGGGTGGGGCCTGTGTGGTGGGGCCTGGTGGGGTGGGCGCCTGATAGGGGTGAGGGCCTGGTAGGGTGGAGCCTGGTGGGGTGGGGGCCTGGTAGGGGTGAGGGCCTGGTAGGGTGGGGGCCTGTTGGGGTGGGGGCCTGGAGGGTTGGGCTGGTAGGGTGGGGGGGCCTGGTAGGGTGGGCGCCTGATAGGTGAGTGCCAGGAGTAGAGTGAGGGCCTGGTAGGGTGGGGGACTGGTGGGGTGAGGGCCTGTAGTGAGGGCCAGGTAGAGTGAGGGCCTGGTAGGGGTGTGGGCCTGGTAGGGTGGGTGCCTGATGGGGTGGTGCCTGGTGAGGGTGGGCGCCTGATAGGGTGAGGGACTGGTAGGGGTGGGGGCCTGGTAGGGTGAGGGCTTGGTAGGGTGGGGGCCTGGTGGGGTGAGGGCCCTGGTATGGTGGGGCCTGGTAGGGTGGGGCCTGGTAGGGTGGGGGGCCTGGTGGGGTGAGGGCCTGGTAGGGTGGGGGCCTGGTAGGGTGGAGCCTGGAAGGGTGGGGGCCTGGTGGGGTGGGCGCCTGGGTGGGGCTGGTCAGGGTGGGGCTTGTTGGGTGAGGTGCCAGGTGAGTTGGGGCCTTGTATGGTGGGGCCTGGTGGGTGAGGGCCTGGTAGGGTGAGGGCCTGGAGGGTGGGGGCCTGGTAGGGTGAGGGCCTGTAGGGTGGTGAGGGCCTGGTAGGGGTGAGGGTCTGGTGGGGTGAGGGCCTGGTAGGGTAGGGGCCTGGTAGGGTGAGGGCCTGTAGGGTGAGGGCCTGCAGTGAGGCCTGGTAGGGTGAGGGTCTGGTAGGGGTAGGCCTGTAGGGTAGGGGCCTGGTAGGGTGAGGGCCTGGTGAGGGGTGAGGGCCTGGTAGGGTGATGACCTGGAGTGAGGCCTGGTAGGGTGGGGCCTGGTGGTGAGGGCCTGGTAGGGTGGGGCCTGGTAGGGTGAGGGCCTGGTAGGGGTGAGGGGCCTGGTAGGGTGAGGGTCTGGTGGGGTGAGGGCCTGAGGGTGAGGGCCTGGGAGGTGGGGGCCCTGTAGGGTGAGGGCCTGGTAGGAACTATAACAACATATATATTTCGTCCCAGTATATGTCATGTCAGTACATATTGTATCCCATGTACCGCGACAGTGAGGCAAAAGTTAAGGAACATGTGGCTGTTAAGTTTTTCAGTTTGTTTGTTATTAAAATATTGTGTGTATGTGTACATTATACTGTGCCGCTCCTCGCCCTCTACGTCTCATATATACCCTTATTGCTGAGCCTCTCAGGTGTATAGTCATATATGTTTATATATTATATATATATATATATATATATATATATATATATATATATATATATATATATATATATATATATATATATATATTACCTCTGGTGTTACTCGTATAAGTACAATTAAGTGAAGGTTTATTAAAAAAGATACTAAGTTAAGTGAGGAGGAGTAATATTGTGTACCAACACCGGCGTTGTACCCAGGATGTGAGAAAACTACTTTCATTGCCGTCGTCCCGTCCTGGGAATTATATTGAGCCAGCAACGACCAACACAATCCTAAGTGAAATGTTAGTTGTTGCCGCAAGCTGTAGTCATCCTGGTTTTATAACAGTGTAATATTAGAGTGTTATATATATATATATATATATATATATATATATATATATATATATATATATATATATATATATATATATATATATATATAAATTGTGAACATAGTAAAACAGAGGGTCCAAAACCATAAACTTTATTACTCGCGGTACAGAGAGAGAGAGAGAGAGAGAGAGAGAGAGAGAGAGAGAGAGAGAGAGAGAGTTACTTACAGTACATGTCCAGCTTGATGGTGAGTGACTTGCCCTGGGTCAGGTTGGTGTTGGTGGCCACACAGGTCACCTCCTGCCCGTTGTTCTCCCTGTTGAGGCTCGGCAGGTGCAGCATCACGCTCACCACCGTCATGGGCGGGTTTCCACCACGCCCGCGAGTTCGGTGTGTGGCGGTGCTGGAGGGCTGAGTAAGAGAGGAGCCAAGTAACTCCTCGCCTGAGAGCCAGTTGACTACAGGTAGCGGGTAGCCTGAGGTGGAGAGAGAGAGTAATGATGATGTAGAACCATCCATGGAAAGTGTGTTTTTTGGTGAATTAAATTTTAATGGTACTGATTGAGTGTTGTAATTTAAGTTTGAGTATTGTTGAAAAAATACTGTTTTTAGTTTTAAATTTTAGTGGTATTGAAAAGCTTCTTTTGTTTGTGACTGACGTTTTAGGAATATTGGAATATAATGTTTTTTTGGTGAATGGAATTTGAAATTTGAAGTAAAAATTTTAAATGGAGATTTGTGGATTAATGTTTAAGATATATTTAAGTAAGTAAGGAAGTGATATTTATTAAGAACAATTAAGATATCCAGTCCTAAATTTCAGCATCTAGAATTTAAACAATCACAGAAATGATGTTTATAGTCACTTTACGACCCGTTATCCTAAAAGTAAAGGTGTCGTTACCTTAAATAATGGAAGAAACAAGATAAGACACTACCCTTTTCATGGGCTTTCACGGCATGGGCCCCAAATTTATGCATAATCACCTTCAAACTACCCTTCCTCAATTACTTAACAACACTGGTCTTAAATTTAAGTATATCTACCTTAAATAATCAGAAAAACCCTCCTTCTCATCATGTGTATTTTATGACGTGATATCCTAAAATTTAAGTGTCTTTAAATGATTGAGTTAAGGCGAGAGCGTTTTAAGACCGAGGGTAATCTCTTTGGGGTAAAGTCATTCCTGGTTTTATGTTCAACGATTTCACTCGTAATAGAAAATTTTCAGAAGGCAATTTTCCCTAGGATGTGTTGGTCATTGAGGTACAAACTAGAGGAACAGGAAGAGGAGGAGTAGGGAAGAGGAGAGAAGAGATAAGACAGGAAGAGGGAGTAGGAAGAAGAGAAGGAAGAGGAGCAGGAAGAGGAGCAGGAAGAGGAGCAGGAAGGAGAAGTAGGAAGAAGAATAGGAAAACGAGCAGAAAGAGGAGTAGGAAGAGGAGCAGGAAAAGAAGCAGGAAGAGGAGTAAGAAAAGGAGGAGAAAGAAGAGCAGGAAGAGGAGCAGGAAGAGGAGTAGAATGAAGAGAAGGAAGAGGAGCAGGAAGAGGAGGAGAAAGAAGAGAAGGAAGAGAAGCAAAGAGGAGGAGAAAGAAGAAGAGGAGCAGGAAGAGGAGTAGGACGAGGAAAATGAGGAAAAAAATATGTAGATGTAGGAAAGGAAGGTGTAGAAGTAGCAAGAGGAGGAAGAGAAGACAAGAAAAGGCGCCAAAAAGAAGAAGAAAAGGAAATAATACACACACACACACTCCTCCCCCACACACACACACACTCACTCTCTCTCTCCTTCTCTTCTCTCCTCTCTCTCTATTATTCTGTCTGTCTGTCTATCTGTCTATTTTACTATCTGAATGTTTCTCTCTCTTTTCTCTCCGTCCCTCTGTCTGCCTCATTCTCTCTGTCTTTGCATGTCTGTCTCTCTCTCTCTCTCTTTCTATCAGTCTCTCTGTCCTTATATCTATGTGTCAGTCTCTGTCCCCTCCTCTCTCTCTATTAATCTGTCTGTCTGTCTGTCTGTCTGTCTGTCTTTACCAACAAAAAAGTCTGGATTTCCATCTCATTATACACGTCGTTAATATTACCTCTCGCTGGGGGAGGGAGAAGAGGAGAGGGGAAGGGAGGGAGAGGAGGGAGGGAAGGGGAGGAAAGGGAGGAGAAGGGCTAGGGGAGGGAAGGCTTGAGGAGGATGGTACGGGTTAATATCTTTAAACCCTTTAGTTACTGCTTGAAAAAAGTAAAGGAAAACGCTAACTCCAGACACCTTCTCACAGAAAACGGAGTCACGGATATATCTTTGAACTAGTTTATTTAATTTTGTAGGGGAGGGAAGAGAGGGGGGGCAGTTAGAGAGAGAGGGTTAAACGGAGGGGAATAGGAGGAGGGGGAGCAGTTGGAGGGGGGAAGAGAGAGGGAGAAGGGAGGGAGAGGGTTAAACGGGAGGGGAATAGGAGGGGGGGCAGCAGTTGGAGGGGAGAGGGTTAAACGGGAGGGGGAAGAGGAGGAGGGGGCAGCAGTTGGAGGAGAGGGTCAAACGGGAGGGGGAAGAGGAGGAGGGGGCAGCAGTTGAGGGGAGAGGGTTAAACGCGAGGGGGAAGAGGAGGAGGGGGGCAGCAGTTGAGGGGAGAGGGTTAAACGGGAGGGGGAAGAGGAGGAGGGGGGCAGCAGTTGAGGGGAAGAGGAGGAGGGGGGGCAGTTAGAGGGGAGAGGGTCAAACGGGAGGGGAAGAGGAGAGGGGCAGCAGTTGAGGGGAGAGGGTTAAACGGAGGGGAAGAGGAGGAGGGGCAGCAGTTGAGGGAGAGGGTTAACGGGAGGGGAAGAGGAGGAGGGGCAGCAGTTGGAGGGGGAAGAGGAGGAGGGGGGGCAGTTAGAGGGAGAGGGTTAAACGGGAGGGGGAAGAGGAGGAGGGGGAGCAGTTGGAGGAGAGGGTTAAACGGGAGGGGAAAGAGGAGGAGGAGGAGCAGTTGAGGGGAGAGGGTTAAAACGGAGGGGGAAGAGGAGGAGGGGGCAGCAGTTGAGGGGAGGGTTAAACGGGAGGGGAAGGGGAGGAGGGGCAGCAGTTGAAGGGAGAGGGTTAAACGGGGAGGGGAAGAGGAGGGGGGCAGCAGTTGAGGGGAGAGGGTTAACGGGAGGGGGGAAGAGGAGGAGGGGCAGCAGTTGAGGGGAGAGGGTTAAACGGGAGGGGAAGAGGGAGGAGGGGGGGAGCAGTTGGAGGGGAGAGGGTTAAACGGGAGGGGGAAGAGGAGGAGGGGGAGCAGTTGAGGGGAGAGGGTTAAACGGGAGGGGGGGAAGAGGAGGAGGGGCCAGCAGCAGTTGTGAGGGAGAACGGGAACGAGGGCAGCGAGCAGGAAGGAAGGGAGAAGGGGAGGGAAAGGAGAGGGAGAGGAGGCAAATGGGGGGAGAAAGGTGGCAGAGAAAGAGAGGAAGGAAGGTAGAAGGGAGGAGAAAGGAGAGGGAGAGGATGGAAAATAGGAAGATGGGAGGGTGACAGAGAAGGAGGGTAAAGTGGGAAGGGGGGAGGCAGGAGGGGAGGAAGAAGGAAAAGGAAGAAGGGGAGGAGCAGAGAAGGAGGGGTAGGAGGGAAGAAGAGGAAGGGAAAGGGAGGGGGGAGGAGGGGGAGAGGAAGGTAGGAGGACGAGGAGAGGGAACAGAAGGGGGGGAAAAGGCAGAGGGGGAGGGGGAGAAGGGCAGCACTTGAAGGGGAGAAGGAGAAGAGGGTGAGGGAGGAGGGGTGAGAAGGAGGCTTAAAGACATATTAAAAGATACAAAGATACATGAAAATACATAAATATGCACAAATGTACATATAAAAACTTCAAGATACATAAAATACATAGATACATAAAATTATAAAAATACATCAAAATACAGAAAGATACGTGAAGATACGTGAAGATACAGAGGCGGGAAGGTTGCTTATGTTATGACCACGTATCAGTATGCTGGAGATGTACCAGCTGGGAAGACCTGGACCCTGCAGCTGGTGTTCTCTCTCTCTCTCTCTCTCTCTCTCTCTCTCTCTCTCTCTCTCTCTCTCTCTTTCTCTCTCTCTCTTTCTCTCTCTCTCTTTCTCTCTCTCTCTCCATCGAGAAAATGTGAAAATCTCAGGAACTCCAAGTCAAGCGAAAGTTTCGTAAACTTTCTCAAAATGACAGTAATATATATACAGACAAACTTTTACACTCAGTTGTGACATTATATAGAGTACCAGTAATGCGGGGGTAAATAAGTAAGGAAGGGAGGGAGGGAGGGAGGGAAGGAGGGGAGGAAGAGGGAGGGAAGGAAGGGGGGCAGGATGAGAAGGAAGGAGGCATAGAGGAGAGAATGAGAGAAAGGAGGGACAGAAGAAGGAAAGGAGAGAGAAGAAAGGATGGAATGAAGGAGGGCTGAAGGGAAGATGAGGAAGAAAGGGGAGAGAAATAGGGTTAGCGAGGAGGGAGGAGGGAAGGAGAGGAAGAAGCGATTAAAGGAAGGGGGGATGGAAGGAGATAGGGAGGGAAGGAGTGATAGAAAAATGGAAGATAATGTGGGAGAGAAGGAAGGAAGGAAGATAGAAGGATCAGGGGAAGGAGAGAGAGAAAGATATAGGGAGAGAAGAAGGAAGGGAAGGAAGGAGAGACGGAGGGGGGAGGCAGAGAAGGCGGAAAGGAGAGATACAATAGAGAGAGAAAACAACCGAAAAGTAATATTTCTTCTATATTTTTTTTCATAACTACAAAGACAGAAAACTTTAGTTCAGTAAAGTGACGCGCCAAGATAAAACACTTGGTCATTTAATTAACTCTAACGCATACAGAGAGAGGGACTCAAACCTTGATGCCAGATTCAAACACTGAACTTAATTCATCTTCGCAAACTTAACTTGTCCCTAACCTAACTTAACCTAACCTAACCTAACCTAACTTAATCTAAACTAACCTAACCTAACCTAACCTAACCTAACCTAACCTAACCTAACCTAACCTAACCTAACCTAACCTAACCCCTTGAGGATGATGGTTTAACCCTTTAACGATATTTTTTTTAACCCTTTGATGACAATGGTTCATCATTCTGCGGACGACGATTTAATTCTTTTGTCCTCAAAGGATTAAAAATAATTTGAAATTCAATTAAATGAAAGGGAAAGTAGTCAGGCAGAGAGAGAGAGAGAGAGAGAGAGAGAGAGAGCCGTGACCTCTGACCTATTGTTCTTAGAGACGAGAGTAGAAAACAATTGAAAAAATTACCATATGAGATATCGACGTAGCAGACAGACAGACAGACATGCAGACAGACAGACATACAGATAGACAGACAGACAGAAAGACAGACATAAATAAACAGTTTTCTAGATTCAGATAGATATACAGACACGAGTTCAGATGCCGATGGACAAACAGATAGACAGGCAGGCAGGCAGATAGACGGAGAGACAGGCAGGCAGGCAGATAGACGGAAGACAGGCAGGCAGGCAGATAGACGGAGACAGGCAGCAGGCAGGCAGGAAGTGAACGGAAGGAACAGGCAGGCAGGCAGATAGACGGAGAGACAGGCATACAGATACACAAACAGGCAAACAATCAGATATACAGCGAGATAGACAATTAAATAGACAGAGAGGCAAGCAAACAGACAGGCAGAATTTCAAATATACAAATGATCAGATGACCTGTTAGAGACACATTCTGATTGACAGATATGATACATGATGGATACACAGACAGACAGACAGAGATGGATAGAATTTCAGGCGCTTACAAACACATAGGCAGACAGACAGAAAGACAGATGGACAGACAGACAGACAGAAAGACAGACAGACAGAAAGACAGACAGACAGATCGTGACAGCAAGAATCCTACCCTCGTTACACTGACTAAAGAAACAAATGTGAAATGAAAGAAGAAAAAAATATACGATACTTTGGTAAGAACGTCAACTAGAGATATATTTTTAAGCAAGGATTAACAAGAACTGGTCGTCAGATGCATTAAGCTGTAATAGGAAAAACAAACACTCTCCCTCTGACGCCGTTAAAACACCCCCCCCTCCCCCCCCCCCCAAGTCCCTCCCCACAAAATACGATAACTTATAAAAAAAACTACAGATAAATATACATAAATTAAAAATAACCTTACTAATAAGATAAGATATACATTAGATTAAAAATAATATTAGTAATTGAGATATTTATGGGTATTTGACTCACCACCATACGCTCGGCAGGACAGCATTACCCTAGAAGAAAGCTTGTACGGCCCAGCGACTTCCCCTACCGTGTTCTCGTAGGCGTCGAACACTTGCAGGCTGTGGATGTCTTCTGTGACGTGAGAAATAAATGCTATGGTTATGGATTTTCTTTTTATTATAAATATCGTTAAGAAATAATTAGAAAATTAATGGTTGTTTTGTTGACATATATTCTTATAGTCAGGAAAGTTGATTTGTTGAGTTCGTGATATTTTAGAGAGAGAGAGAGAGAGAGAGAGAGAGAGAGAGAGAGAGAGAGAGACAGAGAGAGAATATCACCTACCATGAACAGTGAGATGCAACAATGACATCATAGTTTGTGATGTCATAAAGTCAACGCGGCAGGTATAGTTGCCAGCGTCCGCCCGAGAGATAGACTCCACCTCCAAAGACCCAAGACGAGCCTGTGTAGATATAATTATTTTTTCTTTAATACATCAAATAAATTTCTAAATAAATTCCAAATAATATTAAATAAAATACATTATAGTATAAAAAAAATATATATATTGAGGCCGGGAACAAGAGTTAATACATGTTATCTTATATTTTCATTTCATTCAACGTTATTCATATTCTATCTTCCCCTCTGGTACTCCCCTTCCACAACAAGATCCAAAATATCACTCTGGTTTATATCTGTCACTTCACATAAAACTACATTACCACCCATCAAAAAACATATCCTTTCATTTACAACCACTTGACTCTATGCTATCCACTCATCTACGCACACCGCTGCTTTCTGACGGTCCATTCCACAATTTTCCACTTATACAAAGGAACTAGACACATTCTCATTCATTCCTCTAATATCCTTCCATCTGGCATGCATAATCTGATACACTCTTGTCCCCCCAATCTCTCATTCTTCCACTCCCCATCTTTATCATCTCTCCTTATCTGTTACCTCGTGTTGCCTCGACTACTACTGAATGATTGTTTATTATAATTTAACTGATGTTGACGGGTTGTGTATAAAAGGGGAGAGGGAGACAGAGAGACAGAGACAGAGAATGAGGTAAATAGAGAGAGAAGGGAGGAGACACTCAGACAGACAGACAGGGATAGGGAAAGGGAGAGAGAGAGAGACAGAGATAACTAGAGACATAGACAGACAGAGAAAGAGATTAACACCACACAGGGCCAGGGGGGTCTGTTAAGTGAATCAGTGTTGCCAAATTGAGCCACAAACAAGGTTCTTGGATATCCCAGGCAGAGATAACACGATAACCTGACACAGAGCTATCCCGAACCCTGACACCGGCATTGGCTACACTGACTAGTCTAAACATTTACTATTTAACATTTTCCACAATATTTCATCGATGTTTTCTCGGTCATTTGTTACCCTGGATGGACTAAACATTTCATCTAACATTATATTGCCTATACTGTATTGATTGAACAACTATACAAACACGGAGGAAAAAAAAATTACTTCACCCGGCATTGACAACCCTGAATGACTTAACCCCCCCCCCCTCTCTCTCTCTCTCTCTCTCTATTTTCCTCTTCCTCTCTTTTCTTTCTTTCCTTCCCTTCCATAACTCTCTCTCTCTCTCTCTCTCTTTCTCTCTCTCTCTCTCTTTCTCTCTCTCTCTCTCTCTCTCTCTCTCTCTCTCTCTCTCTCTCTCTCTCTCTCTCTGTCGGCTTAAAATCAGGTAGGTGAAGCCAATTAGTAGAAAGTTACAGGTGAGTGGAGAATTAACACACATTCAGATAGCCTCTCCACCTACAGGTCCACTCCACCTTACTCCACCCTACAGGTCCTCCACCTTACTCCACCCACAGGTCCACCTCACCTTACTCCACCACAGGTCCCTCACCTTACTCCACCACAGGTCCTCCACCTTACTCCACCACAGGTCCACTCCACCTTACTCCACCTACAGGTCCACTCCACCTTACTCCACCTACAGGTCCACTCCACCTTACTCCACCTACAGGTCCACTCCACCTTATATATCACAACAACAAAAATTCTCCCTCGACCTCAACACGTCCAAATATAAAAATAATATATAAATAAAATAGGGGAGATTATACCCAATTTTCGATTTTTTTTTTACCTGACTTGAAAATTGGGGAAGAATGTACCCAATTTATTTCCAGATCTTAAAATTTACCCAATTTTTTTTAATGTATATGTGAAATAGTAGTATTTTACTTAGCTATAATGTGGAAAGAAATACCCAGTTTTTATAATATATTTTTGAAATAGGTGAGATATCCAGGTTGACTATAAATGGGTGATATAAATTGGGTAATGGGAAAAAAAATAAAAAATCATAGAAATTATGTACCCCCCAAAAAAAGTCCCATGTAAGAGTTGGTAATTGGGTAAAGGGGAAAAAATATAAATTGGGAAATTAATTAGGAGTGAGGACATAACCCGGACGAAAATGGGGATAATAATTGGGGGAGGAAGGAATTACATATGTGGAATTAATTGAGTGAGGAAGTGTACCGCTCTCCACCTGGCTCTGACACCTTCCTATAACAATGGAGAGAGAGAGAGAGAGAGAGAAAGAGAGAGAGAAAGAGAGATGGATGGATGGATTGCCATCAAACAGATGTAAAATAACAAAGCCTCTGGACCTGATGGAATTCCAGCCGAGGTGTATAAAGCAGGAGGACCTGTGCTTACCAGCCGTCTCCACTCTCTCCTGGAGAATATATGGGAGAAGGAGGAAATCCCCCCAAACTCTTAAAGACGCCTCCATCGTTAATATTTATAAGAACAAGGGAGACCGGTCAGACTTTGGCAACTACCGTGGGATCTCGCTGCTGTCCGTAGCTGGCAAGATTATCGCCGGAGTCCTCCTAAACAGACTTCTTCCTGAGGAGGAAAACTTCCTCCCAAAATCTCAGTGTGGCTGTAAACCATCACGTGGCACTACTGACATGATCTTTGCTGCCCGTCAGATACAGGAAAAGTGCAGAGAACAGCGTCGTGACCAAGGCCTTCGACTCGGTCAACATGGAAGCTCTCTGGTGGACCCTCAGCCGTTTTGGCTGCCCACCAAAATTCATCGCCATTGTGAGGCAACTCCACGATGGCGTGAATGGCAGTGTCCTGCACAATAGCACCGAGTCTGAGTTCTTCCCCATCAAAACGGGAGTTAAACAAGGATGTATACTGGCACCAACTCTCTTTTCCATTTTCATGACTGCCTTCCTTAATCGTGCCAGCCCAATTTAGCCGGCTGGGTGGACATCGAGTACAGGATGAAGGGTCTTTTCAACATAAGACGACTCCAGGCAATAACAAAGGTGTCGGCAGCTTCCATTACTGAGCTTCAGTATGCAGACGACCTCACCCTTGTCACTCACACTGAACGCGACCTACAGGAGATCCTGAACACCTACGAAGATACGTATGCACACTTCGGCCTTGAGGTGAATGTATGTAAGACTCAGATTTTCTTTCAGCCTGCCCTTGGTTCTTCTACACCTCCATCATCCATCCAGCTTAACGGTACTACCTTCTCTAATGTTACCCACTTACGGCACCTCGACTCGCACAGCGGACATCAATGGAGATTTTCAGCATCGGTTCAGATGTGAATCTCAAGCCTTTGGCAGACTCCGAAACCGTGTCTTCAGCTGTAGAGAGCTGAAATTATCTACAAAGTTACACGTATATCAAGCAGTGGTCGTCTCCACCATGCTATATGGCAGCGAGACATGGGTCACATAAGGAGGCACCTCAAGACACTTGAAAACTTTCACTAAGATAGTGTTCGTTCCATCCTCCGAGTTCGCTGGGAAGACAGGAAAAAAAATGCCAGTATTCTTGCTGACACCAACTGTAGGAGCATTGAGGCTACCATTATTCATGAACAACTACGCTGGAATGGCCATGTTACCCACATGGACGACAATAGACTGCCAAAGCAGCTATTTTCCAGTCACCTAACGAATAGTAAACGTAACGCTGGCGGGCAACTGAAAAGGTATAAGGATAGTCTTAAGACAAATCTGAAAAAGTGTCAAGTCGGACCCCCACCCCCCTCCACACTGTAACGCTTAGAGGATCACCACACAAGAAGGTATCAATACTTTCGAGTTAGCCCGACTGCAAACCGAGGCAGACAAGCGCCAGCGCCGGAAAGACGCTGCCGCCGCCCCTCCCGCACTAGATGTAGCCCCCCACATGTGCAAAATCTGTGATCAACCTTGCAGGTCCCGTATCGGCCTCTCTAGTCACCTCGGAACTCACCAACCTAGGTGCTGTCCTTAATAACTCATATCATTGTATCATAGCTGGATGATCGTTATACTCGGTTCCGAGTGACAGCAGAGTAGTAGTAGTAGTAGTAGTAGTAGTAGTAGTAGTAGTAGTAGTAGTAGTAGTAGTAGTAGTAGTAGTAGTAGGATGGATGGATGGATGGTTTCCCTATAACATGTACAACAGTGTAGAGAGTGAGAGACGGACGGACGGACGGGCGGACAGACAGACAGACAGACAGATAGAAAACCACGACTTCCACAGGTTAAAAACACATGACTGACACACACTCAGACACACAATACAATTGATCCAGGTAATGAGACACACAATCACACTCTAACTAACAATAAAATGAATTACTTTATCCAATTATCTTTAAGAGACCAAACAACTGATGACAGACAGACAAAGGACCTGGTTCATTAATAACAAACAATCGATGTAATTAACTATATCAATAATCAGGCACAATTTCAGACTGGACGCGACTCAGAATCGAACCAGTGGTCTTTGGAACGGGAAGTGAGCGCTCTATCCACTCGCCCACAACGGCATTACGAGAATATAATATCGTGTGGATTAAATTACAGGCAACGAGAAAATAAATAGAGGGTGGTGCAGTTTGGGATACACAGGCAGACAAATAAATGAAGAGATATACATTTGATTACTCATATGAATGAATGAATGGATGAAGGGTAATATGAATAAATGAATAAGTAACGCTGTTCTCCCTGCTTCCCTGAATAAGACCTATGAACAAACTATTTAAAATTTTATTGTAAAAGGAATTAGTGGAAATTGTCATGAAAGTGTAAAGGTTAAAAAAAATTGTAAATATGAAAATTTTTTGTAAATGTTATAAGGAATTTTAGATGAGTAAAAACTATTATGAGCAGGTAGAAATGAAAAATGTATTTGTTAAAGTATTATCTATGTATATGTATGATGTAACTGAAATAAAGTTAATGTTTATAAAATGTAAGAAAAGATATGTAAAGAAATAATTATTTAACATTTGCAGTAAATATATGTGTAAAAAATAATAAAACGTAAAAAAAATAATCAGAATAAGGAATAATAAATCTGGAAACAGTTGTAAGAATTTAAAATTATAAAACTATATTAAAAAATGTATATATAAATATAGATAATATCCTACAATAA